AGATAGATAGATAGATAGATAGATAGATAGATAGATAGATAGATAGATAGATAGAATAGAAAAGAATCGAATCGAAAAAAGTTGTGTTTTTTTTAGTCTTTATGTAGGTGGTTTCATGTCTCTGTCGATACCGATTAGATCATTTAAGAGGCGGGCTTCGTTCGACTCTACCTGTCAGAGCCAGCCCAGAAAGAGAAGGATTCAAAATGTAATAAGGAAGACCGAGATACTTGATAATAATTCTTCCCCCACTTTGGAATCGAACTCAGATCTCCTGTATGCGACAACTAAGAACCTCATTCCCACATCGCAGATGTCGATGATGATGCTTTTTAATAAAAGGTCTCTAAGTTTTGCGAAAATACAAACACGTCTCTGTTTAAAGACGAGACAGTTTTGCCCAGCCAGATCTGAGGGCAGCCGTGTCAACTTGGAGGCAAGGTAAACCGTTATAACATAACGGTTCTGAAGGAGAATGGGGTGGACTGAGAAAAATGCGATTACGAAAGTGTTTTTTTTTTATAGTGCAAGTGGAAAAAAGAAAATGTTGAGTTGTTTATGGGGACCTGATATTGCCACTTAAAAAACTTCATGGATCCAATATGCGTTCTTTTTCTCTTTTTTGCCTTCCCTTAAATCTTTCGCAAGATGATATGAAACTCAAGAACTACAACACTCCATTCCCCCATCCACTCCCCTTTCTCAGTCCTCCACCCTTTCCATTTTTTACACATATTATAACATAGAGCTTGGATGAACGAGGCTTTTTTTGTGTGTCTACATTTGTATCGATCATATCATTCCTTTCTGGCTCTCTGGATTCAGATTCTAAATCTCTGGTCTGTAAGACGGTTTTTTTCCCCTTTCATGTTCCCCTTCCCTCTTATGCTTTTCCTTGTAAAAGATGTTGGTTTTGAGCAATGTCCACTGGCCGTAAACTCGAAACAGAGCAGAGAAACCCCACGACATGTGATTTTTTTTCTTTTCTTTCTTGAAATACAAGAGGGTTTTTTTAATGTCCTTTGGTTCTCATGGAAACGAATTAAACAAATCATATGGAAGGGTATAGTTCAAATCTGGGCTGGTGCTGAGATGTATTGTGTTCTTTTATACTTTGGAGATTCCCCAGTCTATTTTTAGCTGTTGTTTTTTTTTTAACCTGGCGTATTCAGAACGATGCTTACTCAGCAGAAATATCCAAGCTCAAATAATAGTAATAATAA